TGATTGATCGGTGAGAGCGGTTTACCGGCGAACGTTGAGACCAGCTGGATCTGCGCGAAGGTGGATGTGAGTGATGGACAAACAATAGAAAACAAATTGTGTAGTAGCTGCATTGAAAAACATTGTGTATGAGCGAATCCGGGCTTAGTAGGTGGTTCAAAGATTGCTCATTCGAAACATTAGCACAGTTGTACAGGTAACTCAAATGACATAAGGTTGTACGTGTGGGTTTAAGCATGAGAACTTTAGGAACAGTTGCTGGAGCCGTACAAGATAGCACAAGGGATCCGAATGAGTGTAAGCTGAATCTGCTATCACAAAACGATGAGCAGAAACTCCACAATAACGTAGAGCGCAAAACCAATGCGGCCGAACGGTAGTGAGACGGTAGTATCGCTCTGAATGGACTAAAAAGTTTCTCATGGTAAGCTAAACTGCTTGCTCAAAGAGGCAAGTCAGAAAACGCTGATGACCAGTTAGCAGAACTACGATCGTCCAGCCCAGATGTCCAGCTGGCTTAGAAACAAACCATTGATATTGCCCACGAGGTCGCAATGGCGCCAGCGCGGGAGACTTGTAAGCTAATAGGTCGTCACCATCGTGTAATACGAGCTGAAGAGGAACGGTTGTTGCAATAAAAGCAGATAAAGGCTCGGGAGCCGTCAGTATAGGTAAGGAGGAATACATACAGAAAATGCAAGATTTACTAAGTGATACCAGCAAATCCAACCTCTTACAAGAACAGAATGTTAATAAAGTGGAAAGACGTATCACGGAGAAACTACAGCTGCTCTTTTTATAATGTGTAAGTGATTAAAAGGTATATAACAGCATAAAACAGGGAGAATCCAACGTATCACACATATATGGATTGCCGAAGACCCTATAAATGTGGTATACCGCATACAGCAATAATGCCAATGCTAAACACAACACAAAATAAGCTGGCTCGTTGGCCAGTAGAAGTTCTCGCGCCGTAAGAGCAGCAGATTATTCCACACTGTCTAAAGGAATTCTGCGGGCTGATAAAGGCATCAGATGTATGTAACCTGTCAGCTAGTCATGGCTTCATTGGAAGTACAAGCATTATTCACCAATGTTCCGCTACAAGAAACAATTGAGTATATCTGATAAGGCTTTCATCCAAACAGTTCACAAGCTACACAGCAGAGCCTAGTCCGGAAAAGCGCCAGACGCGTCTCGCCCTATTGGGGCTCGTCAGTGGCGCGCATTCCCTCGGTCCTCTAAGGAGGATCGAACCCATGACCGCTAGAGGCAGATGCCAACTAGCCAGCAGCTTAAGCCACTGAGCCATGGGGGACGTTGGCTGAGCTACGTAAGTTGCAAACTAGCTGGGATATAGCAACACCTACCTACCACTGTCACTGACAGTGGTTGGCCTGCAAGGTGATGACGTCCTCTCACTAGACGCTGTACCTATAGCATTTGAAATTAGGAGAGGCTTTTGATTTTATAATACTCATCAGTAGCAGGATTTTTAAAATTCTAAAATCCGGCTACTAATGAGTACTACAAAATCAAAAGCCTTTCCTAGTTTCAAATGCTATAGATATAGCGTCTAGTGAGAGGACATCATCACCTTGCAGGCCAACCACTGTCAGTGACAGTGGTAGATACGTGCTGCTATATCCCAGCTAGTTTGCAAATTACATAGCTTAGCCAACGTCCCCCATGGCTCAGTGGCTTAAGCTGCTGGCTAGTTGGCATCTGCCTCTAGCGGTCATGGGTTCGATCCTCCTTAGAGGACAGAGGGAATGCGCGCCACTGACGAGCCCAATAGGGCGAGACGCGTCTGGCGCTTTTCCGGACTAGGCTCTGCTGTGTAGCTTGTGAACTGTTTGGATGAAAGCTTTATCAGATTTACAACTGAAATCCTGCTACTAATTGAGTATGTGTTTGATTTGGCATAGTGCTTCGGTTTAGCACCTTCCGTACCAGTCGAATAAGTGAAGGACAGGCTATTAACATCAGTTTTCAATTGAAGAACATTCCATATTGCTGGATAGATTGAGTGGCGATGGGTAGCCCGTTGGGCCCAGTGCTAGCAGAATTTTTCATGTCGATGTTTGAAACAAAGATGAGTGCAGAAATATCGCTTCTTTCCTACTAGAAGCGATATCTGGAAGATATTTTGGTGTTTAGCTAACCAAAAGAGCAGATGGCTCGTCTGGCGGATTACCTGAATAATGTGTATACAAATCCGAAAGTGACCAGCAAAAAATAAAAAACAATTGCCTCTCATATTAGGAGTCGTTCATTGGCCGATGAGCAGATACGTCCATCAGAAGGGACGTTTGTCGAAAACCGACTCCGTCAGGACAATATCTGCACGTTATCAGCTACTTCTCAAGGTAATACAAGCGGGTCTGAGTCAAAACGCCATTAAACCATGCAAGAAAAATATGCACTACCGACAGTTTGGACGATGAGATCAACTATCGAAAAATAGCTATCCAAGAAGATGTAACAAGAAACAGTCAAGTGAGAGTATCGAGACCGCAGGTTTCACATTAAGTAGAAAGATCTACATTAAGCTCCTACTTAAGGGTGATTTTGCCAAATATGAGGACAAGGAAGGCGTCCAAAGGACTTGTTACGCTACTGAAACGGTTCGAATGTCTGTTCCCAAACGACGGAGAGACAACTCATCGGTGCCGATTCACCTTGTATTCACCTATAGCTGTAGCAGTGGATTGAGCAACATCGGCGGAAATTTCAGAATAAAGGTGCATGTACCTAAATGACTACAGTGTTAAATCACCCAGTCGTCAGTTGTTCGAATCACCTGTTCAAGTAGGCCACCTGCTTTATTCATAGGTAGGCATTTACCGGCCACCTGTCATCCGCTTGATCCGGCCACAGTCGTATTAAGACATTATAACGCCCGCATCCTAGGTTTTGCCAAGGCAGTCGAGGTCAACCGCAACAAACCCGCATTCAGTGTACAGAAACAGCTGTTCGTGAGCCCATGGCTGCCCAGGTGCTAGAAGTGGCACATCTGTCCTCCAACCTGTCCTAACTTGTTTCGGTCTCCCTGCCTGTTGTCTTACACAGTTTCATGTATATTCTTGGCACTCACGATAGGATACGTAATGTTAACAAGCGATATATACCAAAAATAGCAAAGTTTGTATAACGCGGCATACCCTGGCATTCTGGAGGACATCAGAAAAGGGCATAGGCGCCTTTATAAAAGCAGAACAACCCTGCAAGTGGTGGTTCGGTGTTGCTCCTCCCAACCCGGACACCCCATAACCCTGCAAGTGACATGCGGTAGCCTCACAGTGGTCTTCTAATCTCTTCAGATATTGATAAAGACCGGTGGGACCGAAATGTAGATTGCCTTAGAAGAAAATCGGTTAAATAGAAAAACGGTTATTTCAGTCTAGTTCAGTTAAGTAACTATGACCAGAACACCGAAGTGCGACGGATACAATTGTCACGACTCGTTGTCACGATAACAACAATTAGCACTGGCGACGGAGATGAAAAACAGGTGGAACACAAGGTCGGGAAAAACGAATCTAATTAAGCAAATGAAATGGTAACAGGTTGATGCAAGAAACAGGATGCTAGAGCCCCATTGCGCGACTGAGTCCTGTCCAATAGCGCATCAAGCCATGATCAACATCCAAGAAGATGTCTAATATGATCGGCATCCACGACGGTCGCTGAAAGGTGCACAGATGATATACTATTATACGCGTAGTGGTCTCCAAACAGCCATCGAGAGGATGGTCAATAGCGCATCACCTCTAAGTGCCGATGCGACAGAACAGTCACCAACTGTCCCTTTTTCGTAGGAGAATCGGGCAAGAATAAAGCCAACGGAACTCACGGTCGGGCTACATTTCATTTCGCGCCATATCCGAAAACCACGATGTGCGGTATGCAACCAAAAGGAGACAGAATCGTGCAATCAGTGCTGGTGGGACATATGGTCACAGTACAAAAGCATTCCAATGAACACTGTGTTAGAAAAAGCTGCTTATGGGAAAAGCAGAGGGGGTGGAGGTTCGTGATACGTGAATGAACAACTAGAGTATGTAAACCAATGGCTAGTACAATGTTGGTGCACAATGGTTAGCTTTCGTACCACAAGCAGTTTCCATCGTCTCACAACCATCAACTGTCGTGAACAAACAAAGAACGGCTATGCTGCTAAGATCCGTGAAATAGTGGGACCAAGATGAGTGAACAGTGCCGATAACTACGCTCACCCATGGTAGACGGTATGTTGTTCTGAATTCACCTGAATACCCGCATTAGTCAATCAGGGACCAGGGTAAAGTCTCAAGAGTAGAACGAATGCAGGATCACACATAATGCACCCATCAATCGTGTTTGTGTCTGTTGCTCTCAGCACAATAGCAACCAGTGCAAAGCACTTGGACTCACTGGCGGTCGAAACAGCGCTAGGCCAGGGTAATGAAACGAGATGAAACGGCCACACACAAGTGAAGGAATAGATAGTGTTAAGTAAAAAAGGTCTGAGACAAATGATATTACCTTTCAGAATGTGTACCATCATGTTCTGCCATGAAAACGGACTTCAAAGATGTTATATCAATGCAATGCACATTTTCTAGGATTAGCTTTTTTAATCCAAACGCGTGTGAAATACCCAGCCTTTACCTCACAGTGACGTTAGGTAAAGTGGAAAAAAGCCGAAGTAAGTGTGAGTTATCTCATGCGACGATTGTAAGCAGCTTAATTTTCAATGCCGTATTCAGCAAGGAAAGCTAGCCGCTGCGTCGCAAAGACATTCTTCTACCACTGAATGGTGAAAAGATCGGAGGAAGTGCGACAACGGTAGAAGAACAGCAGCAAAAAGCTACAAATACCGTACTCATGTTCATGATGGTAATCCCATTGTACAAAACACAATTTTTGTTCTCGAGTACAGCAGTTCTGAGATTGCACGAGTTTGGAAGTGATATCGCGGTACCTAGTTGATGGTGAAAAGTTGGAGCGCTCACCTGAAGGAAACGACCATGCATCCTGGGGAACAGTAAGCTTCATATCCTCAATACGGGAGCCTTCGGGTCTTGAACGGCGCACGCAACATTTTATTATTCCAACGGCACATATGTCCAGTAATAGAGCAAACAACAGACAAACCGCCTTGATCCACTGGTCCGAAAATAGGCTCGAAATCCCCTCAGGGAATAGTGACTGTAAAGACGAAGCAATGTCACTTAAGAAGAGTGCAAGAGGCGAGTAAAAGTCAGTCGGATGCCACCAGAGGAGCGATACCCAGGACACGCTAAAGAACAACCAAGGGATGCCGTGGCAAGACCATTCCAAACACAGAGCAAGCCTGCGCCATTTTGTCATCACTAAAACACGAAAAATAAGATGAAAAATAGATAAGAATTGACAAATACTTATGTACAAGAGTTTAGGAGGGTGTGGAAATATCATCAGCGAAGTTGGAACAAAAGTAATTAGAAGGTAGTATAGGAACATCTTGAAATGCGGAAAATGGCAACGCCTGAAAGTAGACGCATGTTATACCATAGACAAATAGAATTAGTACAAGTGGGGCTTGTTCGAATCGGAACCGTTTCCAGTAACGGTTCACTGATATGGCAGTGTGAGCGCCATATGCTGTAAGCATCATAGCGTGAGCGTACAAAGCGGTTATTTTAGTAAAGACTTTCTAAAGTGGTGGATGCTCACATGCAGTGTTACACTACTAATTCGAAATTTGCACGTGCGTCGGTGGCACCAATTTACAGGGCTAGTAAAAACTAGTCCGAGGCGGGGTGCGAAGTTGTGCGCGGATACCAGCAGGCAGGAGGGTCGGACAGAACGAACTGTATTCGAAATGAGTTACAAACGAGTAAAGGCAAATGAAGCGAGCGGGAGCGAACGTCAGTGTTGTAACTCACCGAGCGAAAAAGTGATGAGCCAGATGCAGGCAAATATGGCTGTATGAAAGAGGGTGATGACACGAGAACGAATCGTGTACAGTTGATCAGTGCAACAGAGCTCTTCCTTAGAAGGCTGAAGAAAAGAAGCCCTTGACATGAAAAAAGAGGTATAGAGGCTTCGAAAGCAAAACCGCGGCGAGAAAGCTGTCGTTGGAAGTTTTATATTTAACTAATTGCAAGACGAGGTGTGTCATGGCAAGCCATTAGGGCTGTCTTGCTAAACTGTAAATAAGGCTGGTCCAGAAAAAACCGCTGCTATCAAACGGTGTCCTTGGGAATGGATTCTCACTCCGCCCCATACCAAAACGACCCTCGTCCCACGAAGTACGTCCAGCTTTCACGCTCGATCTCTAGTTGGCTGCGGCGACCGAAGCGACTGATCGTCAGGGCCAGTCAATGGGACGAGAGCTTAGGAGCACGGAGCAGCGACAAAAAAGGAACAAAGAAATGGTGTGCGTGCAAAAATGTTTAGGTTTGTGGTTTTTTTCAAGATTTTGGAAAGCTTTGATTCTTGGTTTTCAAAAGGCTATTTGCTCAAACCATGGCAAACTTACACAACATTTACAAGCCTAAAGATATTTACACTGCACACGGTCTGAAAAGCAAAAAGGTTTATGAACCTCCTGACCACGACGGTTGAACATGGGAGACGACAGGTCAGGTGTGGAAGAGGATGTCATAATCAGCATCACTACACACGCTAGCAGCAGGTGGAGAACACCTCAGGTATGGTGGCCGCAATACAAAAAAGAAGTGAAACTAAAGCATGACAGCTGTCACCAGTAACGGATGGACATCGTTCCGGAAAGCTAACAGCCGGTTATTGGGCAGCAAAGAAGCCATATTATGCCTATTAATTGAGATCGTGATTGGAGGGAGAAGCTAAGCGGGGGTAACAAAGGAGCTCACAACACAAACGCCATTGAGATCTGCTTCTAGCCATGTCAACAAGTGTATCCAACCAAACGTGTTTATCATTCTTCGGTCCCCAACCAGAGAGCCGAGAGGCACCAACCGAGGCCAATTTGGAAGTAATAGCCTTCATTCCTCTTGACCAAGTCATCGTTTGGCCACCTCCTCTTCTTCCATCCACACAGCGGCGCATAAACAACGCACGTCGCGGAAGTCTGTGGGCTGGCATGCGTAACATGTGGCCCAGCCATCGGAGCCTGGTGCGAGAAATAACGGTGCTGAACGGATCGCTTCTTTTTTCAACGCCACAAACAAGGCGTTGAACATGCTCACTGCTCACACGGTGTTCCCACCAGTAGTCGAACATAACTAGCCTCATTATGTCGGCTGATCTAAGGGGCCAGGTTTCACAATCGCACAGTAGGGTCGAACGTACGGCTGCACTGTATACTCTACCCTTCAGGCAGAGTGAGGTCGTGCCGGTGCCATAGGTGGCGGTTAGTAACAGCGCCTCGAGATTTTGATATACGATTTGTGACCTCGTCTTCAATTTCAACGGCGCTGATACAACTACCTAGGTAGTTAAGCTTTTGAATTTCTAGCTGATCCCCACCAGGGTTTAGCGCAGGAGGCGGTCCCTGCCAAACGTGAAGGCTTTGCACTTGGAGGGTGTAAAGTATAGCCCGAAACGGCTGGCAGCCAGTGCTAATCTGTCCAACACCGCTTGGCACGTTTGGGAGCTGTCACGGATGAGGGCAATATCGTCAACATGCCCAAAGTCAAGAAGTCGTTCTCCTGAGAGCAGTTCACACATTCTAAGTCGTGTCCAGTGAACGCGATTTATTAACTTCGTCAATAGCGAAGTTGAAGAAGAAAGGTGACAGCGGGCATCCTTGTCTTACACCGCTGAAGATTTTGAAGCATGACGACAGCTTGCCGTAGGCCTTCAATCTGCCCGACCTACGCGCGTAAAGTGCCCGCATAATACTTACATACTTTAAGGGCACATCTTCCTTAGGAGACAGTCCCAAAGGATATAGTGGTCCACTGAATCGAAAGCACCTTTGATGGCGAGAAACAACGATAGGCCGGTGCGTGGCAGTGCTCCAACAATTGACGTAATGTGAAGATGTGGTCGGTGCATCCCCGATCGCGACGAAACCCGGCTTGATCTTCACGAATCTGGCTTACACGAGTGCCAGTCAGTCCGTGAAGGATGAAAGAGACAAGCAAGTTGGAGGCGATGGAGATCAGACTGATTCCTCTATAGTTGCCGCATTCCGAACGCGAGCCTCCTTTGAGGATCGGGTCAATAACGGAGCGGCTCCAGCCTATTGGGACAATTTCCTGCTCCCACAGTTTCGCTAGTAATTCGTGTAAATCATCAACAAGAGCAGGGCCCATGAAGTCGAAGAGGACTAGATGAAAAGCATCTGGTCCCGCGGCTTTATACAAGTTCTACCGTCCGATCGGACGTTCGACTCCTGAGCGAGAGGGCGAATCTAAAAGGACAGCCCAGGGAGCAGGACGATCACTGGTCTGTGAGGGATCTAACAATTTCGGTCGATTAAATTGCTTTTCAAGATGCTCAGCCTAACGCTCCAACGGTTCTGACAAGTTGTGGATAGGCTGTCCACTCTCGTCAAGTATAGTTTCACTACCACCAGGTCTCCTACCGCTTGTTTCCCGTATCAGACGGAACAACTTCCGATGGTTACCAAGGACAGTGGCCACTTTCATCTCTGACGCAGGACGAGACCACCACGCTTCACGCTTCCTTCAGACTAGCACGGAGTTTCTCCCTGAAGTCTTTGCCAGTCTCGTTGTGTTCGTTTCCAGCAGGAATGTGCCGGCGAGCATCGATAAATTCCAGAGACTGCGAAGAGATCCAATGTCTATTTTGGCTAGTGGATTTACCACATAATGATTTAGCTGCTACAAGTAAGGACTGTTGGACATGCGATCAGTGACCAACTGTATTCAGTGAACGTTTGCTCAAACCGAACGGCATCGTACTTCGATACACATTCAGAACACCTGGCTTCACAGTTGGCGCTCACAGGGTCGTCGAGGGCGATTGTCAAAAGCATCAGCAGATCAGCACATACAAGTGCATGGTCAGTGTCCACACATATGCTCCAAATCGAGCGACATATTTGGACGCAGCCTCTCCAGCGATAACTGATCGCGATGTGATCGAGTTGCATCCATGGCTCGTGGGGCGCTAATGTCAACTTCCGACAGGTGCTGTGTCGAAATTCAGTGCTCACAAGAAATAAGCGAGCATCTTCACACAAATGAAGTAACCACTCACCGTTATCATTACGGGGGCCTTCACTAAGTTGGTCATCCAGACGCAGCTCATCAGTGGATAATTACCAGACGAGCATTCAGATCCCCAGCAAGCACTACAGTGTCTGTGCTTCTTCTGTGTTGAAGGAGCTCGTTCAGTTGATGATAGAAGTCGTCTTTTACGGAAGCATCGCTAGTTTGTGGGGATGTAGGCAGCGATGATCAACAGACACCTATTAGCCCCGCGTGACGTTGAAGCTTTGAACCAGCCAGCAAGTCGGACCGCAGACATCCGGCTAATGATTGGGATTCAATCAACCAGAGCAGCTTCAGCCCAGGGACTCAGGGCAATATCAACACCGGCGTGGTCGGTACCCGAAGCTGCATCGTCTCTGGATAAGCGCAATGAGAAAATGCTGCTAGTGTCACCTGAAGGGGATTGGAGAGTGATAAAAGAGCTCGGGTCTTGTAGGCGGGTTTCCGATAGGCAGAAGATATCGATCGAGAGGGGCTCTAATGTTCGGGAAAGTGCTGCCTGTTGATCGAGCTGTCACGATGTGCGTACGTTGACGCATGCCAATCTGAGGGAGGATCAGGGGCTCCAAATAGGAGACGACGAATTGGGTTAGACCGCTTGGTCAGACATGGGCTTGTCGATAGGTAAGAGAGACGCTCCGTGTTTGCATGTGTTGAAACTAGAAGATAAACGCCTATCAAAGCATGGTGGGGGAGGGCCAAGAATTGAGGGGTTGAAAACGGGGGGATAAAAGTGAAGTTGGAACGGGACGATAAGGATGAAAAAGCGTGAGGGGAATAAGAAGACGGAAAGGCTTGAGCAGTAGCATCCAAGCCTCTAACCACCCAAATCGATGCAGCAGATAGGACACCGTTGATTATCCTCTGCGGTGGCCAGAGCATCAGAAATTTGTTTGGGGAAGGATTCATTGTATTGCGTGGGCAGGATACTGTCAGGTTGCCCAGGCCTAGACAGGTGAACGATTAGGGTTCTCAACCAAAGTCTCTGGTTCAAACCTGACCGCAAGGTAGCGGGTTTGGCAGTGGACTACAAGAAGTCCGTTTTGAGGAATAAGGAGCCGCCGTCATTCTAAATCCCAACCTGGAGGACGAGAACCAGGAAGATGTGGCGACGACTGAAACCTACAGACCATGATCTGCGTGAGATTCAAAGATGCTGTGCG